ACATGGTGGGTTCAGTCCAACATGGTGGGTTCAGTCCAACATGGTGGACACAGAGCAGACATTTTAAAGCTGGGGTCCCCAGTCACCGGGTTGTGGACCAGTATCAGGCTTTGGATCAGTATGTACCAGACCACGGTAGAAAGAATTTAAAAAAATAATAATTGTAAAAATGAAAATGCGCTGGTCACAGACCTGATCCAGGACCAGACCAGACCCTGATGGTTCTGTACCAGAATCAACCTCAGAGACTTCCTGCTGTTAATAAATTAGTTTATAAACTTTATAACGGTGACAAACATCAAATAAACGTTTGGTTTTAGCAGGTGGTACCAGGTCCAGATGATTTACAGAACCTGAGTGAGCCGTTCCCCTGGAGGAACGCCCAGCCTTCACTTCCTGTCTGTCTTTGTCCAGGCGGTTCTGCAGGTCTGCGACCCGACAGGAAGTGTGTGTGTGGTGCTGTGGAACAGTGTGTGTGTCGACTGGTACCGCTGTCTGAAGTTTGGTGACATCATCAGCCTGAGACGCTATCGAGTGAAACGGCACTACCAGGTGGAGATGGACGACATAGGTACACACACACACACACACACACACACGCACACACACACACACACACACAGGCAGACAGACAGACAGTCGGGTCACCTGAGTCTCAGGTGTTTGAGTCAGTGTGTGTGTTTCAGAGCTCAGTGTGAACAGCAGGAATCCTGCTGCGCTCATATCAGTTCTCCCAGAATCCTCGGTGTCTCCCCAGCACCTCCCACCTGCTCCCACCTACAGCTTCTACAGCAGGTAACCCCCCCACATTGATCCGTATGTCTAGACCCCACTGACCATCAGAGCCTGACCTCCACTGACCCCTGACCTCCTCTGACCCCTGACCTCTCTGGGATGTTTCCTCTCATTCACAGTCAGGATCTTTCTGAGCGCGCTCACAGCAGTGTGTGTGATGTCATCGGCCTGCTGACGTTCACAGGACGGTCGGAGCGAGTCAGGAGGAAAGGTGAGGGTTACCATGGAGACAAGCAGGTGCAGCATATTTTCTTCTGACTGGTTTTAATACTGGTAGATGGGCGAAGGGCGGAGCTTCTGCAGTACCGGTGGCTACGATTGGAAGATGGTAGCAGCGATCAACCAATCATGGTAAAGCTTTTCTCCACATCTCAACCAGAAACACACCTGAAGCTCCGCCCACGTAAGACCGAGTCCAATCCCACCTGTCCTATTTGGTTTTGACTGATCAACTGATAAGAGTTATTGATCCTGCTGACCTGTCTGCAGTATCGGTGGTGGTTTGTACCCGCCTGAAGGTGATCCGATCCTCTGAGCAGACCGGCTGCTTCTACCTGACCAACACAACGTTCACACAGGTGTACTGCACAGGTAACACTCTGGACCTGTCTGCTTTGGTCAACTCCTCCCACCTGACATTTGTCCTCTCTCCTGATTGGCTGCTCAGGCCTGGGTCACCACTCTCAGATGAGCTACAGGAAGCTGCCACAGGTGAGGCTCTTCCTGCGGTGGCTGAGGAGCCAGGAGGACCGGCAGGTGCTGAGCCGGGCTCTGATTGGAGGATTCTTCATTCACCCGCCTCCTCCCGTCTCCTTGGAGACGTTCATGAAGGAGAGGAGAGGTCAGCTGATGCTGAATGCTTCTGTTCCCGGTCTGAGACTCGATGCAGGACCACCTGCTCTGTTTTACAGGTGAGCTGGGCTTCCTGCAGGGGGCGGAGCTTCAGAGGGAGCTGAGTAGGCTCTGTTACCGGGAGCAACGCTGCTTCTGCATCCAGGCGACTGTTACCATGGTTACCTACAGCCGCAGAGGAGAGGTGATGGTCAATGATGAACACAGTAACAAACACAATAACACTCAGTAACACATAATAACACACACAGTAACATACAGTAACACATACAGTAATACAGTAACGCATAGTAACACATACAGTAATACAGTAACACATAGAAACACATACAGTAATACAGTAACACATAGAAACACATACAGTAA